GAAAGAGGAGAGACGCGAAGAGGAAAAACACATTCTGGGGCCCAAGGACCCTATTTATAGTGATGACATGGAATACGAAACGTCACCCCGGGGAACCACAGAACTTACCTCCTTGACGTGTAGCTCCCCTAGGCAATGATGACCCTATCGTCAGTAGGGTGGCGGCACGGTTCCCAAGAGATGCCTCATGTGCTCAACGAACACAGCTCGTCGAGATTCCCCGAGCACTCCTCGAGCGGAATTATCTCATGGGCCCGACACAGGGAAAACTCCTCGGGCAAACCGCGGGGAACTACATCTTTTAGCCGGGAACGGGACCCCGTGACAGAGGCGACCTAAGATCAAGTCATGGCTCCTACCCCAGGAACCACGACTTAGGGGGCTCCTGTTCTGGACTGGGCCGGGCTGGCCCAAAAGCAATGGTGAAGGCCCAATCCAAACGGTCTTGCAAGGAGGCACGCTGACCAAGGGGCCACAGCCGTTCCCGACACTCTATGCTAGTGCGACATCCTCGACTCCATGCTATCCTGCTCGACCTCAGCTCGAGCACTCCTCCTAGGGCAGACTCTGTCCACTACACCATCACCTGGATCCCGAAAAGACCGTGTCCTCGTTCGTCTGTACTTCATGAAGAACATCCAGAAAGGAGACCACGTGCGGGTCCCCACTACACACGTAGAACCTGGCAGTTCCTCCATTGGGCCAAACCTGCCCGGCCCAATGAAGGAACCTTGGCCCAGCGCTGGGGGCTATAAATACCCTCTGTTCCCAGAGAGTCAGGTATTCATTCTTTTACCCATACTCAAACTTTTGCCTGCTCGTACTCTCACTTACTTCAGCATCGGAGTGCCTTGCAGGTACCCCCCCCCCATCTCGTCCAAACTTCAGCTCGGAGCCAGTCGTGACGGTCCAAATCTGATCCGGTAAGATCAGTTACCATATCAAATTTTTATATTATATAAGAAAATTTTATATTGAGAGAAACTAAATAATATAATTAATAATTACGTTGAAAAAACACTTATCTTAATAAATGTGAGAAGATGAACTTTACCTATAACTAGTGGGATATTCGTGCGTTTGCACGGGTACTGGTCGGGCGCGTTTATTTATTGAAATAATTGATTGAACGAAAAAGACAATATATTATTTCTAGAATTAGTTGATGTTTATGTTAATGTACGAAAAAAATTCATTACAATATAACGTAGTTTTACAAAATAATTTAGTTTTATAAATATTGGTTTAAAGGGTAAGCGGAGTAATAAAAAATACATTCAACGAAAAAAGGAATAAATAAATTTGATTGATATTTATAAATACAAGGTAAAAGGGAAAATGAAAAATGAATGATGGTTGGAAATGGAAAATATATAAACCTCTTTTAAAGCGCAAAACAAAAGATCATAAGTTTTGTCAAGCATTTTTCCTTATAGGTGCATTAATTATAATTGTCAAATAATGATAGTAACAGAATTATAGGAAACAAACATACTTAATTATAAGAAAAGATAGTATTTTAAAACATATATAAGTTTAACGATACACAAATTAATTTTGGTAAAGACATTCAAAAGAATTAAGAATGTGTTTTACACATAAAATATCGTTATGATTCTACACAAAGAGCCTTGCATTGACACGTACTTAAGCAGAGAATCATAAAAACGATTATGCTTCAGTATGAGTCGATACATCCATACCATGCATCGACTCATAACATGTTGATGCTCCTGGAATACAATTTTCAACCTTTATGCATTGATACATAACTTCATGCATTAACACATGATATGTTAATGTTCCTGGAAAATAAGTTTCAACTTTTATGCATCGGCACATAACTCCATGCATCGACACATAATATATTTTATCTTCAAAAATCAAAATTCAATTCAGTATGTGTCGACACATACGTGTTATGTATTGACTCATATTAAATGGTTGGCTCTGTAATATGTTGTAGTATCAGTTTGCATCGACTCATAACAACTTGCATCGACTCATTTTGTGTTGTATAACTAACATGAGTCGACTCATGCTAACTTGTATCGACTCATAATGTGAATTCTTGTCTCTAACTATTTTATGTTACATATATAAGTAAGTTTTCAGCAGCAAATCAGGGGTGACACATTATTACAACTGTGAGCATCAATTACTGAGCAATAAGAAGCCTAAAAGATACATTATCTTCATCATCTTCTCAATCATCTTAATTCAACAACAACAACGAAAGTCAAACATCTTTGTTCAATTGGATCAAGAGATCAAGAGATAACGTTCAGTTGTTCATTCAAGGGATCTCAGTTGGGTTGAAGATTCAGAATGGGGCTTCTAGGAAAAACCAAGGGTTTGTCCTTCAAGAACGGGTGCGTTCTTGAGGGTTTGTTAGTCACGGTCGCACAAGTCAGATTCATCCGTAGCAAGGGGTTTGGAAATCAGATGGATTTTTGCAAACAGGTCGTGGAAGCGGAGGATTGATTGTGGATCTTGAAGGGAATCTTGATAGGCTCATATCAAGTGGAGGTTCTTACAAGAAGAAGAAGATCATAGGGATTTCATTATGTCTTTGCAGTGTAACCTTTTATACAAACTTTCAGCAAAATTGATATAAGAGTTCTTAATTTCAATTTTGGAATTGAGAGGGAGACGTACCCACACGCGAGGACGACCGTGGGGAACTTCCTTACCAAACTGCTTGCGTATTATTTTTCTTTCTCTCTATCTCTTTACATTTTCCGTAATTTTGTGATTCAATTGTCTTGCTGAGTTTTCTGTTTAATGATAAAATAGTGGTTCAAATACTTTCATCAAATCACCATTATTAATCATCAAACAAGCATACGCCAACCGTTTGACAAAATTGCTTGCAAGTTTTAATTTATTGGAAACATTGCTCTAATGATAAGTGCATTAAAAATGTTAATAAATCTGTGTTTAAGACTCATCTATTTCATACTAATAAAATCCAGCAAGTTTATCGTATGTCCAGTTTTCTAGTAGTTGGTTCAAAATAGATAGAAGTTGATTATGGGCCTTACTTTTCCGATGCTTTTAATAAACTTCGATAAAAGATTTTAAATCCTTGATAAATAAGGAGGTGATCTATTCACTCCCCCTCTCGATCACTTTCCACACCGTCTAACAATTAAAATTTGATAACTGGCTCTAATAAAAGTATTAATGTGTGCAATATTTAACATGAGTGGCAATACAGTACTGCATATGTATATATAACAAAAAATGGATAATGTTGTTGTGTTATTCAATTTGGGTTACAAGTTTAGAAAAAAATAGAGGCGGCAATACATACATATATCAATCTGAGTTACAAGTTTAGATAAAAACAGAGTTACATGTTAGATCAAAAGAGATGGCATATGTGATTAATATGGCAAAATACCCTTTTTAGTCCTTTAAGTTTACCCCAAGGTCCATTTTGGTCCTTTATCTAAAAAAAGTGTCAAACTGGTCCTATAATTCTTTCAAAAGGACCATAGGAGTCCTTTCCGTCCATTTTGGTCCTTTTTGGTTCAGCCCATCCTTCTTTATTTCAATTTGTAACTCCATTATCTTATGTTTCAGCCCATCCTTCCTTTCCTTTAGATGATGTATCTCCATCTTTGCTCCATCAAGCTCATTTTGCAGCTTCTCTAATGAACCAAAAAGGACCAAAATGGACGGAAAGGACTCCTATGGTCCTTTTGAAAGAATTATAGGACCAGTTTGACACTTTTTTTAGATAAAGGACCAAAATGGACCTTGGGGTAAACTTAAAGGAATAAAAAGGGTATTTTGCCGATTAATATCATAGGTGATGGTCAATAGATCTATAGACATTATAGGTGAATGCAAATTGAGTGGTAAATAGAGGAGTATACCACCTTTTTCACTGATTTAAAATACATTTGACTATCAGAAACCCATGACAAATGTTATTGAATTAAAATGTATACTGTCTACGATGGAATTTATGCATTTCTATCAATATTAGACACGTTTAAATGCCATATAGGATTTAGATCATAAAATTGTAGTTGAAGACGATATATAAAACTCAGTTAACTTTAGAAGGCCTGATGCATTATTTAAATTGAAAACACTTGATGTAGTTACAACTATGACAACTCGCAATTGTCATAAATATAATTTACATGAATATTAGAGTAACATAATTATCCCAAATTCTACCGTACAAGTACAAAGAGTGTAAGGATTTTCCGACAGAAGCAAATCTCCACAAGCGTCTTCAATGGGAACCGTCCTGATTTGACAGGGAAAAACTATAACAGATTAAGATGCCAGTTATTTGTCAGCAATGCAGATGCTAGAAATGTTGTGCAAATACGCTAATTTCCTGAACCAATTTGAAGAGAGTTATCTGCAAATGTCGGCATAAATCCATGTCAGAACTTGGCATTACTGATATGCAGGAGTACGCATATTATCCTAAATTCTACTGGACGAGTACAAAGAGTGTAAGTATTTTCCAACATAAGCAAATCTGCACAAGCGTCTTTGATGGGAACCATCCTGATTTGATAGGGAAAAAACTATAACAGATTCGCATGCCAGGTGCTTGCCAGCAATAGATGCTGGAAGTGTTGTACACATATGTTGATTTCCTGAAACCACTTTGAAGAGAGTTATCTGCATACGCCGGGACAACAACATGTCTGAAATCAACATTACTATTATGCAGGAATATCCAGATTGAAAATAATAGACTAAAAGGCGCTGCTCCATAGGAGTGATAACAGAGGAATAAATTCGTAAAATTTCAACATAAAATTATGTAAACATGATCATTCAAAAGATACACACAAATGCATGAAATTGTGTGTCAACATTAAGTTAGCATAACTTAATGGCACACAAGTCTAAATTTACAAATCCAATTCGAAAAGGCAAACACTTTTAAAAAACAAACAACGGTATTAATTGTACGCAGAGTCAAACCAACAGGAACAAAGAGACACAACAAAATACATCAATGACTAATCATTCTTCTCCAGCTTGATTATCTTCCTAAGCTTGTTAGAAGATAGATGTCCATCATAGAATTCATCTGAGGTTGTTGATTTACTTGACCCCCCAGGAAAGTCTCTTTTATCAATAGGTGTCATTGGATCCGGGTTATGCTTAGAGGTAATCTCGAGATCCTGTTACACATTGAATCAGACAATAGGTTTTATTTCACACCACTCAGACAAAACAAACTTATGCGGAAATAGGGAGGGAGTCATCGATTACTGTTTCCTTTACACAATCTTTGGGCACACCTGTTTTTCCATCATCGACACTCTCCTTAACCTAAGCACAATATAACAGTAACCATTATATGTAATATAAGCATATAACAACAATTATAATGGTGAACAACGAAAAACTGAAATAGGGTAAGTACCTGCAGAGGATCAGATGTTAAGGAGGGGCCAACAACAACTTCCTTATCCTGGAAAACAAAGCATCGTTAGAAAAGCTATGTAATATCCAAATAATCAAACAACCTAAAATACCAGAAACCTGCTAAAAAGATTATACCTCGTCTATGTCCCATGGAGCCTTAAGCTGCCTGATAAAAGGCTCATCCCTAAGGATACTCACAATAGAGCAGTTGTTCCATCGCGACTGCCACTTCACCTTAAATGCCATCTCCAAATTCAGCAACTGATCCAGTGCCAATGGTAATTCCAATGGATCATCAATTCCAGTTTATACAACAAATATCAATAATGAGTACCAAAACACTACAAAAATGCATATACTAAGGGGTGGGGAATAAGACACCAAACCTTGATCATAGTAAGACGTAGTTGGGCAGTAGATAAACCCAGAAGAAGCTCACATTCTCTATTCCAAAACACAAAGTTACAACTGCTTCCCCCATGGAAAACCTGAATCTCTATCTTGTACCTACAATGACATAATTAACGAATATAAAAAATACAATGACATAAATCATATATAGATAAGACATTATTATCAAATGGGCTCTTCTTAACACTTATAGAGGAACAATTTTATGTGTTGGAAGATGATAAATATATGCATTGTTGCAATGTACTTGTGGATGCATATGACGTGGCACTGAATTTTAGTCATCGTATACAAGTTTTCCATAAAGAATTATCCCTCCAGCAACAATCACAAGGTCTTGCAGATAGCCTTTGTACGATGGGATGAAACCTCCAATGAAATAGAACTTGTAGCCATCAAAAAGCTTTGGTTGTTGCATTATAAAATCTATCACAAGTTCATTAGACTGCAAACAAAGAAGTGTTTATTGAAATAGACTGCAATTGTTTTAGCTTAATTCAATTTATATGTATCCAACTATATAACTTATAACGAAATGTAAATAAATGTAGGCAGCTATTTCCAAAAATTCTCACTGTTCACTTTACATGCTTCCTTTTTAGTCATAATATATATGCTTCCATATATCAGTTACTTGCATTTAATTTTCTAGGCAAGAAAAGTTATCACTTTCTCTTTCATTATGCATTGAATATATTATGGGTAAGCTAATACATATTTGAAGAGCAAAAATAATTATTAATAGATTGGCAACTAAGAACCTAACCAAGTTATAGGCATCAGACAACATATGACCTCGTCCCAATGAAGGCAGAGAAGTACCAACCAGAAAATTCTTGGATTTAGATGCGTAAAATACCTGCTCTATATCGTAAATTAGAGTGATGCCAAACCAATACAGATTGAATTTTGGCTCCCATGAAAGCATCAACTGGATACCTGAAACATCAACAACGAAAGGCATTGAAGCCTTTCTTTATTATTCCAGTCCTTAAAAGCAGATTTCTTATCAAACTGTTTATAAAATTTATAACATGACATATTTATATGAACAAATTATGGAGATGTCGAGACAAAAAACTTACTGATGTAGAGTTTCAAGACCGCAGAATGCAGTGCGGACAATAATTAAACTTTCAAAAGGCTGTCAAAGTCCATTACCCCCACCATTATTTTACTATGATATCATTTCAAGACAGCAACACATACATAGAGGTGCAGTTGTTCCGAGGGATAATGTGTCTGTAAAACTTCCCACAAGAGCATTGTTTTCTCATACTCAAACTCCATGAAATGTAAATAAATATTATAGAACCAATTTAGTAAATTCATCATGCCGTCAATGGTTGCTTCCATGTGCAATGGAGTTTCTCCTTACTGCAGAAGTGGCAGAAAGAAAACTTTAGACAATTACAAAAATAACCAGAACTTTAGATCATACATATTAACATGCTAACAATTAATTTGAATAGAAAAATTGATGTCACCAACCATATTCCTAGCCCCTATTTCAACTCTCTCTGATCCTTTCCAATGAAGAAGAAATTTAACTATCTCACCCCTATTGTTACCTGCAGAAACGTGAAGACGTGATTGTGCCACCTGCATTTAAAACATGTTTGATATTCAACAAATATTACAAATTCAAGATAAACCCTAAATAAATCATAATACAGGTACATAATTCATAAGTTTGTGACTGGTGGATTGAATCCTGAGGTAACTTCTGCGAGTAAGCTTGCCTTAATCCTTCCAGAGTTGTCAATAGCGGGTGCTCCGACCGCTATAGCGGCGTACCGTAGCGGTGCGGCACCCCCCGCGCGCTATTTAGGGTGCGGTAGCAGAGATGAAAAAGCGGTCGCTTCAGCCGCGTTCCCGGGTAGCGGGTAGCGGGAAGTTCCCGGGCGGAGCGGCTCCGGTTCTCTTTTTTTATTTTAAACAATTTTCTGGGCCAAATTACTTAAATGCCTCTGTTTTAAAAACAATTTTTGTTTTCTTTCTCCCTCATTCGCTGTGTTTTATCGTGCCCTAATTCCTCAACTCTCCTTCTACGATTCTGCCGCCATCTCCCTGCAACTCTCCTTCGATTCTTCCTCCATCTCTTTCTGCCATCTCAGGTAATTTCTTCTAATTCTTCAACTTATTCTACTTCAACTTATTCTACTTCAACTTATTCTACTTCTTTTCTTTCTACCTTCTACTTCTTCTATTTTTGTTTTGTTGTAAACACCGTTTCTTTCTATTTTGAAGAAGTTGAAGATGAAGAATTGGAGGAATATGAAGAAAATGAAGAATTGGAGGAATATTTTGATGATGCTACATGATTTCTATGTTTGCTTGAATTTTCATATGATAGTACTAAGTTTGAATTTGAATCTTTATGTTTTGAATCTTGATTAAGCATTGTTCTTGGTTTGACATTAGATTTTATAAATATTTTATGAGTGTTGTAAAATTAGTTTAGTATTACATGACATGTTTTATAGATTATTATATAATTATTAGTATACAAAAAGTTATCCCGCTATCCGGGATCCCGCTATTCCCACTTTTCCCATTCCCGGGGGTCGGCCACTCCGCTCCGCTATCCGGGATTAATAACTATGAATCCTTCCTCTGCAGTCCAGTCGGTATTGTTGCCATAATCTAAGAGCATTATGATTTCCTTACTACCTACTATGAAACAACTTACAGTTTCAGATCATGATAAGATTTTTACAAAGAGATAGAGATAAACTTAAATAAAAAATATATAATAATTGACCGAAATGACAGACAAATTATGATTTCTCTAAAAGAAGGGGAAACTGAGATCCTAACCGCATAAGAGTAGCAAATTTGAAGCAGAAAGGTAGATTTGTAAATTTGGAAATTGTTCTGGAAATTGTAAAATCAGGTAGAACATTGTAAAATCAGTAAAAATGTAAAATAAGTTCATAAAATAAGTTCATAAAATAAGTTCTAGAAATAGTTGATAGGAGCCACAAAGTATTGTCTGCATATATAACAAACACAATCAGTTAGAACATTAACGAAGTTTCATATATGTGAATTTTAGCATTATCATACCCTGAGAATATAAAATAATACTATCAAATAACAAACTAATCATTTGTTCAATGTCTAAAATCTGCTAGATGAATGAATGGTTCGTGAAAATCAAGGAGTGGATTTCAAAGTGCAAGGTTGTGGAAGCAACAACAGACCTCTCATATCACCTTTATCATCCAAAGCCTCTGATCCCTTTTGTTCCTGCAATATTGTTTATCGAAATGCCTCACATGCCACATATGATTAATCAACATACCCAATTAGAAAAAGCATAAATTTTTACAATTGCGGGATTAGAATAGAAAAAGGGTTAAAATGGGATTAGGTTAGGGCTTCCCTTACCCAAGAATATCGACATTGATTTACGAACCGATCTCTAGATTTATTGCATTCAATTGGATAACGAAAACCTACGGATGCAATCTCGGTTGATTTCTTATCACATCCTTTTTCAAGGCACGAGACGAAAGTATGACGAGCCTGGTTCAATGAAAAGAAAAATCAATATACCAGAACAAAGATAATGATAAAGCGTAAATCATAGAAACCAATCAAAGAGAAAGAGAGTTATCTTGTAGCATGATTCTCTGGCTTTGGAGAAGACATCAGATTGGACTTTGTCATCATTTTCTACTTCTACAATGTAAGCTTACACCCCTGTTGTTGATTGATAAACCTGAAATTGGATGCGTGGAATTACAATGTAAGAGAAAGAAGATGAAGGATGAGAAAGAGAAAAGATGAGAGAGAAATAGAAAAAGAAAAAGTATGAGAAAGAGAAAACGGAAGAGACAAGAAAGGAAGAGGAAGAGAGAAGTGGAAAACAAACTATTTTCTGTTTTCTAAGGAAGCCACATGTTATGTTTTTGGAACAAAAGGACAAAATAGGGAATTTGGGTATATTCACTTTTCTTATATTATAGATTCCTTGTGGAAAGAATAGTACATAATAAAGATCAAAGTATTAGTTTAATTACATAAAAGGCATGTTGGAGTGAGATTTTAAATTTTAAATTTTATCGTATAATTATGTGTCTTTCATAAATAATATTTGTTCCGAACAACTTTAAGTTTGTGTCGCTGAGATTATAACGTATTATCTACTTTGAATGTGTGGTACGGTGGCAGAACCGACTGTTATACTGGTTTGCGTTTTGTATTCGTAAATGTTACGGTAAGCAAGAGTCGCCACCGACTTTTATTTTATCCAATCAGGAAAAGGAAAAAGAACAGAAAAAACCTTTTTCGAGATGTTTTTGAGTACGGGGGGTAGATTATAGAAAGGGGAGGTGTTAGCACCCTTTCTATACATGGTTTTCCATGGGCTCTTAGGTACTTGCTCATCTTTTTAAAATTGCTTGTGTGTGCTTGTTTTGAAAAGTTTTACTTCGTGATAACCCTTGTATCAGTCCTCAAGGGTGTGACGAAGTTGTTTTTGAAAATTGTTTTGCAAGGTGTTTGTGTGAAAAGTTTTGTTGAGCAAGTACTTAAGATTCTACCTACTCGAAAAAAGGCATTCTTTTCCTCTCATCCTTTAGACTGTGTTATCCTACTATTAGTGAGTAGGTAACCCTAGTCGTTGGATGTTTGAGGGACTATCGAAAGGGACGTAATGGTCATTGAAGGCAACATGTAAGGATACCTTAGCATTTCGAAGAGACTGTCATCATATATTCGTAGGCAACATCGAGGGACAAGATCATTTCTCGTAGGCAACTCGAGGGACTGTAAGGGACCATGGTCTTTATGATGACTTTTAGATTGAGGGTCTTTTGCTAAGATATCCCTACGTTCGAGGGACATGACCATTATTTCTGAGGCAACCAAGTGAGACAAACCCTAGGAGTGAGCATGTGCGAGTGTAATTTTCAGTTAATTTATCTTTGCACATTTAGGGTTTTCTACCGTATTAATTTTCAGTTTGTCTTTCCATACAATCTAATTAACATACATCTAAGCAGTTTATAGTTTACGGAATTAAAAGCAAGAAAGTTTAAAGTCCTAGCTATTACAAGGCTTTTGCAGATACATAATTATTTTAGACTGAAAATAAAAAGGCGGAATTTAAACCCTAATTACTATTACAACCTCAAAACAGTTACAATAATAATAAAAAGAAATTAAAAAATGCGTGCGGCGAATTAAATGCAAGAATAATTTAGGAAACCTAAAAAATCTAATTGAAAAAAGATCTAGGTTAGTTTTTTTTTTGAGAAAAATTAATTAGGTTATGTACAAATTAAAACTCTAATTTCTAATTAATTTAAATTATAAAAAAGGAATTAAATTTTCCCTAAATTAAATTAAACTAATTAATTAAGGAAATAAAATATTTTTATGAAAAAAATGATTTTTACGTTTTTTTTATAATTTTTTGATTAAATAAAAAATAATGATTTTTTAGTGTTATTTTAATAAAGGAAAATAATTAGTAAAACAATTAAATAAAATAAAATAGAAAAGAAAAGAATGGGTCTGTGTTGTGCCAGCCTGAGAGTGCACCATAGTCCTTCATTGTTTGAGGCGTTGGATCTGAATTATTGATACATCCAATGGCCAGATGGTGATAGCGCATGGTAGGCGTTTTGGATGATGATGCATTGAATCCAATAGGATTCTGCCACCTAATTGTCTTCTTCCCCATAACTGTTGTTTTTGGCCACACTTTTACCTACAGTTGTTTCCGTCACTAAAGGTTATAGTGACGGATTTTGTCTGTATCCATAAACCCCTAATTTTGTCCAATTTTGTCTTTATATAGAATTCCCAATTTGGGACCTCAAAACCCTAACAATGGCATCGTGCCATTCCGTGGCACTGTGAGGCATGATTTCTGAAGGTTTTAAGGCTTGAGGATGATTGGAATGGCTTCAGAACATGTCCAGGAATAGATTGTTGCCTTTGGAATTACTTGAAACGACCTATGGAAGAGAATACGGTCTGCACTTTTTCTTCCAAAATTTTCAATTTCTTCCCCTTTCTTTCACGACCCCAAACCCTTTTTTATGCTTTAGAGATGTTAGGTATATATGATAGAATGATTTAGGTCAACAAAAACTGATCATATCTTTGCAAATTATGGAGATTTGATTTCATTCTTTGCCTTGTATGATTTGTTTCCAAAATAGACCAAATTAAGATCTTTTCCAATCAATTAGCTCTTGCACGAATTTTTTGATTTGCTAGCTATTCATGGACTCATAATATGCTCATAAAATCAAATCTTTGATTTTATTTGATTATTCTACTATTTAAATTGATTTATTTTGATTTAAATGGATAAAAAATCAAAATAAATAATAAAAATAATAAAATAATAGGTGGATAAGTTCAGGGGTCGTGGGACATCTTAGGAACAAGTTTCAAACAAGAAAACATTGGCCTATTTGAAAAAAAAGTCATTTTGATCAATATTGACTTCATGCATATTTCCAAAAATTGGTCAATTTTGACAATACATATCTCCCTCAATTTTAACCCTAAGAGGGTGTTCTTGGATTTTTTTTAGAAAGCTTAGGGTGTCCCCTAAACAACCCTTTTGGTTTTATCTCAATTGGGTCTTCCATGTTCATGTAATAAGCTTTGATCCAAAAGAAGTTTTTGTTGACTTTTCAAAAGGATCTATAATATAGAAATTCATATCTTTTGATGAATGCATATTTTGAACTTGTGGGATGAAGATGAGTTGTAGGGAATTGCATCCTCTTCAAAAAGAGCCTTGGATGGAAAAAAATTGATAAAGTATGAAGAAGTTATGCCTGGTCAAAGTTTGGTTGACTTTTCCTATGAAACCCTATTTTAGCAACTTTTGGGTTTTTATGAATTTGGGGCATCCCTTGAGGAATCATGATCCACCCTTGATCAAATAATGGAAATCTCTTTAAAATGTTGATTTTAACCAAAAGTCTTGAAGTTTGACTATATGTGGGCCACAGTTGACTTTTGACCTAATACAGTCGATTCTCAAGCATCTAAGTAGTTGATTGAGCAAACTTCTTGTGCAAGGCATGAGACTTGACATGGAAAATCTTGGGAACATATTAGGGCCTTGGAGAGAAATTGGGGCCTTTGTGATCCACACATCTTGATGAAAGTGGAAACCCTAATTTGAGACACACTGCCTTAGGAGAGAGTTTGTCTGGTCAACTCTTGGGCAAACTTGAGCAAATTGAGGATCTCTAGGAGTATGTTTTGAGTAAAATGAGAGGGAACATTTTGGGGTACAACAGAGTGTGAAAACTTTCACGATATTGGCCACCGCAAAACAGTTTTGCAGGCTAAGAAATAAGGATGTGAACTTTAAGTTTCCACATATACATTGAGTGTGGAAACCTTTACAGCTTTGGCCAGTACGAAACAATTTCGCTCACTCAAACTAAGAAACACGGATGCGAGCTTTGAGTTTCCATATACGACATTGAGTTTGGAAACCTTCACGACTTTGGCCAACAGTTTCGCCCAATCGAGGCTAAAAAGACACATATGCGAACTTTGAGTTTCTACGGTCGGCGTCAAAGGCTGAGAGGAATGTGCGGGCTTTGAGTTCCCACACACTATATAAGAGGCAAGGAGCACATTGCAAACTTTGAGTTCTCACAAACGACAGTGATGTTTCAGTTGATCTCAAATTTGCGTCACTGCAGCTATGATGTATTGTTCGCTTTAGGTTTGAGAACCGTTACATCTTTGCCATTTAGAAAAGGCGTCTCATTGGATTGAGATGTATGAGTGTACTATATAAACTACTTTTAGTGTGTGTTTGAACTTGCGGTGGCCAAAATTAATTTTGACAGAATTGAGTTTAGTAGAATTGATTTTAACATAATTAAATTTATCAGAATTGATTTATGTTTTGGATATATTTATATAAAAGTGAGTCGAACAATAAATTTCAGTGTAAAAATTACGTTTAAACTTAGAAACTATAAATTCTAGTTTCAAATAGAATTAATTCTACATTAATATAACCAAACACTTCAAAATCATTTCAGAATCAATTCTACATCTCCAAAATTATTTTTAACATTTTCAAAAATCAATTCAAACATGCCATTAGTTTCAATTCTCAAGTAGTATGAGATTATTTTGATCAATTCAGAACAATTGACCTCAATTAGTGTTAAAGCCACGAAAAAATACTCACGACTTTGTCTTTTAAAGAAAATCTCGTTGGATTAAAGGGTTCGATTCTCAAGTAGTATGAGATTATTTTGATCAATTCAGAACAATTGACCTCAATTAATGTTAAAGCTACGGAAAAATACTCATGACTTTGTCTTTTAAAGAAAATCTCGTTGGATTAAAGGGTAAGAATGTTGTATGTAAATTATTTTTAGTCTTAACTCTAGTGTAAAATTATCTTGTTCAGCTTGAACAATATTTTTGAAAAAAAATAAAGCATATTAAATAGTTTTCAAATAGTTTGATCCCTTCTTGAAATAATCATTTACACCTTCTACTTAGCTTACCATCAAACTTTAAATTGTCATTTTCTTGTATAATTAAGACAACTTGTATTTCCAATTTATGTTGACATTATTGATTTGTAAAACCCTTATCGTTTTATTTTATCAAAGAAAAATGGCCATACAATTTTTTTCTTATTTTTTATTATGTATGGCATATATTTTCAGTTAATAAGCATTATATTTGTCCACATTGAATATGACAATATAGCGCTTTCATTATTCCCAAAACCTTACGTTTTCCACAAAGGCCTTGCGGAAGATTATGATGAATCTTTCTATTTTATAATAAAATGTTGAATTATTCTCTAAAATATTTTCATTTCTTTAACTTAATTTTAATATTTATAAAAAAAGTAAATAATTTTGATGCATTTAGTAGATAATTAGTAGATTCTCACGCATTTATATTTTATACAATCAATACATTGATAATTATTTCAGTGTTGATAATTATTTCATCGAGATCATGCACTCGAGATTTTAATGCATAGTGCTCAATTCAATGCAATTGATGATAATTCCTACTAGTACTGTACTTTCAAATTTGTACTTTAGAAATTTTGAAATTAAATTATGACTTATATTCATTTATTTCATATTATAAGGGCTGTTTATTTTTATTTCTATTAATTAATGAAACAAAATTTAGAGAAGACGCTATAGAAATGTTTGAAATTTTTCTATAAAAAGAATGTTAGAAATTTTGAAAATCTCATTTTTCAGCATTCTCAAATATGTTCTATGTATAGCTAAGTTCCACATTTTCTCTATCATAAACAAAAAATAAAATTTATAATCAAATTTCATTCCAATAATCTAAAAACAAAGTAAAAAATTTATTAAAAAAATAATTAATAATAAATATGATTAATCTATAAATATTCTACATTCTAAATGTCAAATAATATTTTTTGGATCAAATAATCTCATATCATTTACACATGGTATTCCACAAATATGCAAATAGCCAAGATCAAAACTATTCGAAGAATTCCAAACACGCCATTAAAAGTATAATAAATAAAAACTAAAAACTAATTTAAAATAAATAAAAAATTAAAAAAAAAAACAAAAAGACCTTTTTACCCACCAATACGACAACCACCACTGCTATCACCAAACCCTCCGCCGCGTCAATCTCCGTACACCCGACCCGGATTCTATCCGGGTCTTCACCCGTTCAAACTCATTCACCCTACAAGGAATCGTAATCCCACCTTGATGATAAAACCCATACTCCTTTTCAGCTTCTTTCAACAACTCACTGAACAAAGGATGGTTAAAATAAACCACCGGCACCAAAACCCGACGAAAATCCCCGTCTTTCTGACCCACATAAACCGCTAAATAGCCCTTCGGAACCGTTGAACTTGAACCGTTTCCCTGAACCGGGTCTGACCCAACCGGTAAATAACTGGAGTTTTTCTTGGAGCATAGAGACTTTGCTTTTGTGGTTAACTTTTTGCCCCATGTTAGAAGCTTCTTCATATTGTTACTCTTCTCCGGTGAGGAACCGAGACGGACGTATACGGGTCGGGTCCAGAATCTGCGGAAGAGACATCGTGTGAACCGGACCACTCGTTTACCTAGCTTGAATCGCATGATGTTTTTTCAAGAACAAAATTTATGTTTTTTCCGAGAAAATTAGATAAGAGTGTTTGGGTTTTGTTAGTGTGCGGGAGGGAGTATGAGAAGGTTCATAGATCTGCAGTGAGTAACACAAAGTTGAATGATTTTTTGATGGAGATGAAAAGGGTCAAGAGTTAGAGAATGAATAATAGAATTTGAGAGAGAGAGAGAGAGAGAGGAAGGAAGTAAAGAGGAGTAAATGTGTGTACTTGGTACGGAAATGAAGTGGCGCAAGATTTGAGGATGTATTTATATAAGGGGAAGAAAGGAAATTTATGAGGTGGAATTTTCAAGGTGAAGAAGTGTAACGGTCAAACATTATGATAGACAAATTAGAAAATGTTTTGTATTCAATAAACTATACTAATTGACTTCAATAAATATCTTTCTGTATTTCATTAAAGAATAAAAAATAATATATTAATTTTCCACTATCATTTAATAAAAAATTATTATTTAATTATATTATATAATTTATTTAAAAATAATATTAAATTTATATTTAATATAATTATGATTGATTGACAATATAAAATTATTTTATAGTATTAATATTTTTTTTCTCTTCATAAGAATATATTAATAAACTAATAGAGAGAAGACTCTTTTCATTAAAGAAAGGTGCAAAACTTTTTATATTACTTCTTAAAGAAAATTAAGGAAATTAAGAAAATCGGTTATAATATTAATTTTGTTATTATTTATGTACTTTTGCAATTTTATTTTTAAAGGAGAGTGATTTAATATTTGTGTAAAAATATTTATTATTAATTATAAATAAATATGTTATATAATTAATGATATCAAATTAAAAATATATTTTTTTATAAAAATCAATTATTTTAATTTTCAATACATTAATATATATTTTCAAAAAATCTTACTGCACTTAAATATATTTTCAAAAAATATTATTACTTTAAGTAATTAAAGAGTATTTCTAGAACACTCATTAGTATTTTCCTAGAATTAAAGGTAGAGTAGGTGTAAAGAAATTATTATTGCACCTTGGAATTTGAAGATAATCATATTATAAAAGAGAGAAAAAGGGTGTTATAATTGCGGAGATGTTCTCTTTAGGGTGGGGTGGATGGAGAGGTTTGAAGTTGGTGTTGGGGTTGTTTGTGTGGGAGGAGGAGTTGGTTGAGGAATCTATTTGGTTGTTGGATTCTTTTATTTTGCAGAACTTAGTTGATGATTCATGGGTGTGGCGTCTTTATTCTTCAAAGTGGTATAATGTGTGTAGTGCTTATCAGTTTTTGATGAAGTTGGCGAATCCTCAATATTTCAAACACTCTCTATTTGATGGTCTAAAGCGGTGTCGTTAAAGGTTAATCTTTTTGTTTGGCGGTTATATCGTAATAGATTATCTACGAAGAATAATTTTGTTAGGCGTCATATTATTAGTGATGAGGAGCAAAATTGTATAGTAGAGTGTGATAAGTATGAGGACAGAGACCATATTTTTGTTCGATGTGGTTTTTATGGTAAGATTTGGCCGATGATGTCGGGTTGGTTAGGGTTTTCTTTGGTTTCTCATGGCCCTCTTCGAGAATATTATGATCACTTTGTGGCTTTGGGAGGATGGTCAAAATTTGTCTGTAACGCCTTTCACATAATTTGTGTAGCAATTGCGTGGAGCATTTAGAAAGTGCGGAACCAACATATTTTTCTGAATATTAGACAAGCGTTGATTTCTATTTGTGAAAAGGTTAAACTTCTATCTTTCTGGTGGATGAAAGCTTATTTTCATTTATTCACATTCGATTATCAAAGTTAGAGGTTAAACCTTATGCAGTGTATGTTAGATTGTGCCTTATAATTTTGGGTTTTGTTTGTCGGTGTTGCGTTTTGGTCTTGTTATTGTTGTAACTATATTTTGGTTTTCTTCTAGTACTCCTTGTGTTGAAAAGGTTTTTTGGTGGTTAATATATCTTTTTAGTTTTTCAAAAAATAAAAGAGAGAGAGAAAAAAATGCCCAAGAGAATCTTATATTTATTAACAAAAATAATGCTAGTATTTATCTATTAGTTAGACTAATGATTAATGAATTTTTCTTAATAGGTGAGCGTGTAATAGAGAAGTTGATTTCATTACAAACTTAATCTTGTTCATTTAGGGGAGTAAAATGAATCGTTCGGAAAGATTTAGATTTGAATTATAATAAATTATTAAAATAATTTATTCAAATTTAAAAAAAAAATCTTTTGTTAGATTTTCAATAAGTTATTAAAATTAAGTAATTCAAAATTTGAATTATAACAAATTATTAAAAATAATTTATTAGGTCAAAACAAATGTTGGATGAATAAAAAAGAAATACTTTAATTCTAATTTATAAGAATAATCAGATATATAAAATTATACAAGTTATAAGATGATTAAATGTGTGAGTCATACCATAAAGTTATGAAAAAGAGTGACTGAATGGAGACTAAGAAAATAGACTCAAGCCAATGAAGATCAATTTGGTTTATGTCTAGGAGGTTGACCATGGAAGCAATATAACCACAATGATGTGTGATGGAGCAGTATAAGGTGAACCAACAAGACTTGAATTTAATTTTCGTTGACTTGGAGAAATCGTATGATTGAGTGACTAGAGAGATCTTGTGAAAAGTTCTAGAAAATAAATAGGTTAGGATTGCATATATTTAAGCAAATATGAAGATATTGTGTTGGATGTATGATAAGACTATACATGATAAGATTAGAAATGATAATATTATAGAGAGTATTTGGGTAACACTTATAATAGAAAAGACGGTGAAAATATTGGGCTTAGTCTCCCTTCTTACGTGGAGAAAGGCCCAAATATGTATAGCTCATTTGTCTCACTTATTTAAGTGGGGAGAGTCAATTTAGGATCGAGAGAGATAGAGAGAGAAAATAAGGATTAAAAAGAGAGAAAAGATGGGAGAAACCTATTCTCATTATTCTGCAACCATTCTCACTAAATTGATGATCCCGGGTTCGTTAGCCGTCAGATCGAGCTCAATTTTGGAGGGCATTTTTGCAACACACACACACACACACACACACACACATATATATATATATATAAATTTTGAGAGTTTGGATCTTCAAACAAGGTCTAAGTTGAGAGATATCTGCTTCACACTATAGCTGCAAATTTGGATAATTTTTCAGCTTTTTGATTCTTATTTGTAAGCTAATTTACTTTGTGATTTATGGGTGTTAACACTAGTTTGTGAATCACTTTAAAACTCTCTTGTACTATTATTTGGTTATAGTGGAGCTATTTCTTTGATCTGGACGACTCGTGGTTTTTACTCTCGTATTTAGGGGTTTTCCACGTTAAAATATTAGTGTTCTTTTGTATCTTTATTTGTTCGATTTGTCGTGTTATATTTGTTGTTGATGCTCAAGGTTCCTACAAGTATGGAGAATTTTATATCTGCTGCATATTAGTCTGTTATTGTGTCTTAGTTTTTCATTAGAGTGGTATCGGAGCTCTTGCTTAAGGGTTATTTTACTTGTTTGAATGATGGAGTAAAATACAAAGATGAATATGGTATTGTTGAATGGTTCTAATCTCCATTTATGAAAGGGTAAAATGAAAGACTTACTATTTGTGAAGAAAATGCATTTACCGGTTTTTAGTTTCGTAAAGCCTGATTTTGTGTCTGATGAAGAATAGGAGTTTGAACATCAATGTGTGTATGGTTTTATTCGATAATATGTAGAGTATAATATTTATAATCATATTGCCAATGAGACACATACAAAAACTTTATGGGAGAAGATATAGTCCTTGTATGCCTCTAAGTCAGGGAATAATAAATTATTCTTATTGAATAGATTCATAAGTTTGAAGTATAAGGAGGGGACTTATATTTCAGGTCACTTTAGTGAATTTCAAAGGCTCCTTGATGTCAGGAATGAGTATCAAATTTAATGGTGAAGTTTTGGGGATATTTCTATTGTTATCTTTATCAGAGTCTTGGGAGACGCTTCAGGTTTCTACCACAAACTCTGCTCTTAGAGGTGGTGTTTCTTTTGAAGCGACTAAGGGTGGTATTCTTAATAAGGATATGAGAAGGAAGGCAATGGGTTCTTCGTCTCAATTTGAGGTACTTGTCACTAAAAATAGGGGAAAAGTCATAAAAATGAACCGAAGGGTGGTAGAGAGAATAACAGCAGGAAGTCTAAGCCACGGTACAAGAATCTGAAGTGTCATTATTGTCACAAAACATGACATACAGAAGTACTGTTATTAGTGTAAAAGTGATAACAACGTGTCATACCCCAAATTTGACCCTTCAGATAATCGTTCTATGTTACTATTTTTCAAATCCTTAAATCATATGGTTCAAATTGTTTGTTTTGAATATTATAAATAAAGGGGAGGGTTTAAATATTAATAAGATGGGTGTCTATTTTAAAATGGACCATCAAAATCTGATGACCCATTAAGAGTTTTTAAAATTCATTCTTTACATTGGAAATAAGGGAATATGGTTAGTTCATTTGGCAGACTGGGCCAATAAGTCTTTGCGGCCCATTAATTTACTCAAAGCCTTGTTATCCGATTCATAACAAAAAGAAGGTGTATGTTTTAAGTGGGCCATCAAAATCTGATGGTCCATTAAGGTTGTTATTACTTTTTGTATATATATAACATAGTAAAGGATGAGTGTTTAGAAAATCAAGAAGACCTATTGATCTGACCTGATCAGAAGGTTTGGACCGTCACGGCAGCTCCGAGCTGAAGGCTTTTTGAACGAGGAGGGGGGGGTACCTGCAAGGCACTCCGATGCTTAAGTCATTGGGAGTACTAGCAGATAATAGAGTTGAAGTGAGAATGATCAATACCTGACCCTCTGGAAACAGAGGGTATTTATAGCCCCCAGCGCTGAGCCAAGGTTCCTTCGTTGGGCCGGGCGGATTTGGCCCAATGGAGGAACTGCCAGGTTCTACGTGGGTAGTGGGGATCAGTACGTGGTCCCCTT